TTAGGCTGCGTTTACACTTGGCATTAACATGCGACCTGTATCCGGATGTTGTCCACCTACAAATTGAAAAGTCAAGTGTAAACGCGCTTCTGATCGGAATGTTATCCGATCAGCGTGTCCTGGTCCAGAGGTAGTCGAGGACGCATTGTGATCGGATCTCAGTGTAATGTAAACGCAATCCAGCCATCGTGTCTGCATTCGCAGGTCGACATCACGCAAAACGCCGCCCCCTCCCGAACTGACAGAAGAACAGAGCGCTAATGAGACTCGTACATTTATTTTGATTTGTAAAATGTCCCGCGGCTGAAAATAGTTTTCAAAAGAAAACCCACCACTTCAGGTTGACTTTGCGCCGCAGACTTATTTAAATATTGCGCGGGAAATACAGATCCGATCGGTTATCCAGATCGAGAAGTCAGCTGATGTTGCCAAGTGTAAACGCGCCGTGTCCTGATTGACTGATGATCCGATCTGCTTGCTCAGATCACAGTGATCGCATGTTAATGCCAAGTGTAAACGCAGCCTTAGAGTGGCCTGCCATCTTACAATCTCAGTGAAAATTAGAGGAATGCTGCCAGTTAAATAGGGTTTGTCATATAATTAAGGAAATTAGCGCCAGATTAACACCAATAACTTGGAGGTATCTTTAAGTGTTCTCTAATTTTGATCAGAGTTCTTTTTCAAATATATCATTTAAGTTTTTTTATACTGTGCTTCAGAATACAATTAATGTATGAAATATGCTTAAAAACTGCCCTTCTACTCCTGTTAGGATAACTTCAAATAGGACTAAGCAGTGAACTTAAAAAATTTAGGAAATTGTAGGTTGTTCTCTAATTTTGATCTCCACTGCGTATGTATGTATATATATATATATATAAACATTAGGGCTGGGCGATAAATTGATAACGATAATTATCGCGCAATATAAATTTCCTCGATAAACGATAACAAGAGGTCGATAAATTTTCGCTATAACGTTTATGAGGCAAAGGCGGAACGAAAGAGCACAACTTATTTGAAGTGCGGCACTCGGACCATTTATCCGCTCGGATCAAAGTTTAAACGGCGGCGTGGCGCAAGCTTCACTAGAGCAGATGCGTTACTCGCTGATGAGTCTCGATCAAACATTGCTGTGAGATCCAGTGTGAAGCGCTTGCATTCAGCGAAGAACACAAATAACTCTGTTTACAGCCAGATGAAACAGCGCTGACAAACAGGAGAAACACTGTTCGCAGCGATACAGTTAGAAGACTTTTTAATCTACAAATTGCCATCATTTACCATAGATTTACTGTAGTAGCACTAACTGCACCATGGTATTGTGTCAGAAATGTGGGTATTTGTGTCAAATTTATTTATTTATTTTGTGATTAAGCTATAGCGTTTATGCATTTATACTAAATTTATTTAGACTACTGTTTTTCATACAAATACCTAAAACCATATTACATTTTTACCATGGTATTGAGGTGCTATATTTGTTTTAACTGTGATTATCATGATCTAAATGTATGCTACTATGGAAGACCAGTGGTTAATTAAAAAAAAAAGTCAGAAATCAGAATAATTACATTTCACCATAAAAATGAGGTTGCTACAATACTTACAGATATTACTGATTTTG